TGGTGGGGTTAACAAGGATTAATTTTTGTATTTATAATAGATTCTAGGTAGCTAGCTAATTGCCTAATTCAGTATGTTCATTGAATCTTATAAAATCTAATAATTCAAAGACTTAAAGAGATTACACGAAGACAATAATTAATTATTAAATAGTACTCTTTCTTCAAATTCCCAACTTTTTCACCACAACCATCAATGGAAAAGCTATTATCCATGTTGATGGATTTTTTTTTCTTTTATGTTTTTGTTACCTTTCTTTGAGTTTCAAGTTTTTTTCTCTCTCTCTCTCTCTAATTTGCCGAATACAAGTTTCTGAATTGTGTGTGATCTTTGACTTATTGTAGAACATGATATCATTTATTTGAAAATCAATAAGTTTTTTTAGATGTATGAAACAAGCAATTACATAGGTAACATTTTTTGTTAAGAATTTTTTACAATAATATTGGATGAAATGACTCAATGGATTGAGATTGTTTATTTATTTTTCAAGTGATAAACTATCTATTTTTTTAATAAAAATTGAAATTTACAAAATAAAAAAGGTTTTTTCTATTAATTTTTTTTAATGGTGGCTGACAGATGTGCCTTATTGATAAGTTTAAACTTTTCCACTACACTAACTTTTAAACTATTTGAACTTTGTTTTTATATTTGACATAATAATTGTTTGTTGATTTAATTTATGTTATTCTATGCATTATATATCACTATTATACATCATTAAAATGCTAATAAAATCAAGATATAGTTAGAATAATTCAAAAGCTTACGAGTCTTATATGGAGAAAAGTGCACCAGATTTATGTCCAAATCAATTACTTTAAACATAATTTGGGAAATCATATGACATTATTCTAAATGACCTCAAAACACTTTTAGTGAAATGAATTAGATTTATTATTGTTGTATTGTTGTTACCAATTAAAATTTTCTTTTCTTCGAAATGTCAGATGTAATATTTAAGACTTGAGACGAGACAGTAATTACCTCTGAATCAAACGAATGTAAGTTCTATAAATTTATAGTTAAATTAAGAATTAAATAAGAGATTAGAGTTATAAGAAAACTCTAGCAAGCCAAGAGATTAAATCAAGCAAAAAAATTTATAAAGTTTTAAGATAAAAAATCTAATAAATTATAGAAGTTTTTTGACAGGGAAAATATAAGAAAATTAAGATCTATATTGTGAAAAACAATAAAAAATGCTACTGAGAAAAACTATGAAGAAAGATGTAAACTTATAAAAATAAATTGCAAGAAAGATAAAGCTGTAAAAAAAAATATTGGAAAGTATAAAGATATAGAACTTAAAAGATAAATTGCTAGAATTTATGTGTTATGGGAATGGTTAAAAAATTATGATAAGAGTATTTTTTTATTTATAAAAAAATTAAACTTAATGATAATTAAGCTTGAAAATGAGATTAATCAGAAATAAAATTTACAATAGAATAGATGTTTTTTTAAATAATGTTTATTCTAATAAAATTCAAAATATGAAGAAAAAAGAGGATCTTTTTCACGATAGTGGGGGGCATACTCCAAAAATTTGAGTTTCATATCTAAGTGTATTCATTGTCCAATTATTCTTAATTAAAAATTAAGGTGTCGTTTGGTTATAAAAAATAAAAGATTATAAATAGAAATACGAGAATCGAAAAGAAAAATAGAGAATCGGAATGACATTTACATTCTTATACCGTGTTGGGAATACTAATAAAAAATAAGAATAAAATTTCTTTTTTTTAATACAAATAAGAATAATAATTAAAAATAATAATTTCATCAATCATGATAGTAGTAAAAATAATACAAGTGATTGTAATGGTGGTAGTATAGTATAGTAATGATAATAATATATTTTAAAAAAATTGATATTATTATCATAAGAGGTGATAATGGAAGAAGAGTGGTGGTGGTATAATAAAAGTGATGGTGGTGATACCAAAAGAGGAGTGATGATAGAATAATAATAATAATAATTTCTTTTATTACCGACGTCAATAGAGGTAGAGATGGCAATGAGCGAGTACTCGACCCACTAATTCAATTTTTTATCTTATCCATCAAAACAATACCATACTCATTATCCATTAAAAAATCACCATATAAATCTTTACCTAGCCCATACCGAGCTCATACTAGTTTACCGGTTCATTAAATACTCGTTAAACTTAATTTATCAAAAATATTCATTTTAGTTCCAATAATTTTTAAGAAAAATTTTTTTTATCCTTAAATTTTTTTTTTTTTTTGCATTTTATTTATTTATTGATAAGCTTTTTTGATCCTCAAAGTTTGCAAAAAGAATATTTTGATCTTTAATTTTTAAATTTTATGCAATTAGATTCCTAAATGTTAATAAAAAAATCTAAATAAATTAGTGAGTATTAATAGGATAAAGAATGGATACCTATACTCCGAAATCATATTAGTGGGTATGTATTTTTTTACTTTTATTTATTTCAATACTCATTAAGCACTTTTAATGAGTATTTATTGAGTCGAATAAAACGGATACTCGTTTTATACTCGATCCATTGCCATCCTTAAATAAAGATGATAGTAGTGATGGTGGTGGTAAAAGTAATTTAATAAGTAATAAATAAAAATAATATATCATTATTTTGAAAAAAAAATTCATTTTCATTCTTTATTTTTATTGCAACATTTCACATTAAAATGAAATTATGCGTAATTTTTATTCACATTCTTTCTTTTCATTTTCATTTTCACTTCATTCTTTTCAACAAAAATAGATATAAGATGAGAATAAAATTTTTATTTTTATTTTCATCCTTCTATTTTTTATAACCAAACAACACTTAAAAAAAGCAAAACATGTTTTCATAATCATTTAAAGAAGAGATTTAGTCTTAATTATATGTAAATTAAAACAAAAACATTTAATATCATGAAATAAAAAAACAGAAAAGTGGATAATTCCAAACATGATTATCTATGTTAAGGAAAAAAAAAAAAACAAGTACAGGAATTTTTGCCACTTGAAACCAACATTTGTTACCAAGTTATCCTGTTGGGAGAGAGACAATAAGAAGCAAACGACCACCTCGATTAGGTTCGATTTGCCTCGCTGGCCATGATCTAAATAACAAAAAGAAGTAGGATGACATGTCTTTTGAAAATACCCCATAGGATCTCGGTGTCTGGTTAAAGGGCAATTTTGTCAGTTTAAAGAGAAAAAGAAAAAACGTGGAGCACCATTACAAAGCTCACTGTCATGCTATTTATTATATTTCAATTATGGTTAGCTTTAGTGATAATACGGCAGAAAATAAATAAATTCTTTGATTATGTAACTCTTTATTATTATTTGGTATGCACGATTGAACCCCCCAAACTTAGCCCTTTTATTAATCTGAGACAAATCATCCCATGTGAAAAACACGTACATTTCATCATATTTACCTTATATTTGTCACATTTTATCAATTCAATCTAATTAGATTAAATTGTAAATAAAATACGATAAATTTCTCTTGTAAAAAGAAAATATACTATTTATAATTCAATTCAATTAAGTTAAGTTTATGAAATGCTTGACTCTGACCAATACAAAGATAAATTTGACAGAATGTTGTATAAAGATTCATTCGCCATTCCAAGACAAACAATGGGGCTAAATTAGGTGCTTTTCCCATAAATTTTCATTTTTTTCTTGGATACATGAATTTCATCTTTTAATAATTGGTTTGACCATTAAGCATGAAAAATACACTAGAATAGAAAATTAGAAACTAAAAAAAGGAAAAAAAATGTTTTAGCGTTATTATAATTGGTCGCCACTCCCTAAAAAGAAATTGCAATAATTTTTTTTCTTATTTTGTATAATGATTGAACTCGTAATGATGGTCGGTAATAATCAAAAAGCTTATAATTCAATAATATTGATCTCTTAGGATAAGAAATTACGAATTTAAATTCTAATAAATTAATAATGTTAAAAATTAACTTAAGTGTATAAATTGAAAAAAAAATAATTAATTTGACCGTTAAGTATTAGAAATACACTAGAATAGAAAATTAGAAACTAAAAGAAGAAAAAAAAAGTTTTAGCATTATTATAATTGCTCGTCCCTCTCTAAAAAGAAATTGCAATAATTTTGTTTTCTTATTTTGTATAATGAAAGGATTCATAATGATGATTAATGATAATCAAAGAGTTTGTAATTCAATAATATTGGTCTCTTATAATAAAAAAATTAGGGATTCAAATTTTAATTACGAATTCAAATTCTAATAGATTATTTCTGTTAAAAACTAATGTATGTAAATTGAAAAAAAAAATTGGTGATAGGCTGTTAGCTTTTTTTTAGGGTTTTTATTTTATTTTATTATATTTGTCATTGTACATTTGTAACTCCTCGGGTCCTGATCCTAACTACCGAGGACTGACTGGTAGCTTCTATGCACAGTGTTTTCGACCGTTGGGTGAAACTCTTTTTCCTTTCCTCTTGGCTAGAAATTACGGTATCGCAAATCCCCATACCGCCCATTGGCTATTGAGTTACTGGTTTTTTTTTCCAATATACTAAATTACCCCTTCTAGATATTTTCACATAGGTCATAAAACGATGGCTAATCTGGTCATTGCAAGATACAAAACGAGAAAGTCGCGGTCAGTTTCCTTTTATAAATCCGTCCAAACCGTAAAAAATTGCAGCAATCTTCTCTTTTCTATTTCTATAATTAATTACTCTCCTTGTATGTAATCTGTATTTTTATTTGCATTTATTTTAAAATATTTGTTCCGTCAAATTTTAAGTAAAATTTTTTCCTAATTTGATGATTAATGATTTAAAAAAGTTGAATAAAAAATGTTAATATGGCATGATGATTTATAATCTTTTTAATTTATATAAAAAAATTAAAGAGTCAATTTTTTTTAAGAGTAATAAGTAACTACCCTTTGTTTTATATAGGAGAAAACTCCATATAAACGTGAGGTCTGGTCTTTGGTTTTGTTTCTCATAGCCATGGACGTTTCTGAGCTCATTGAGAGCTTAGAATCTCTATGGTTCTTTACCAATGTGGTCTCATCGAGAACTTCGCATGCTAGAAACAGAACCCAAGAAGAATCACCACAACCCATGACCCCAATTCTCCAAACTAGCCTGCAAAATCACGAGGACTCACCAAAACCTGAGTTTTTGACCCCAAAATGCCCCAAGTGTGGTGACTTTGCAGCTGAAATTGAAGAACATGATGGGGGTAAGCAGACTATCAAGATTGAAGAAGTGGAAACTCCAAAGCCAACAAAGAAAAACGAGGACTCACCAAAACCTGAGTTTTTGACCCCAAAATGTTCCAAATGTGGAGACTTTGCAGCGGAAATTGAGGAACATGATGCGGATAAGCAGATTAACAAGATTGAAGAAGTGGAAACTCCAAAGCCAACAAAGAAAGAAGAGAAGAGAAAGAGAAGGCAAAGGAGGAGGAGAAGCAAGAGAAAGATACTAGGAGAGCTTGACTTAGGCTTTGATAGTAGTAATTATTACAAATTAGATTATGGGTTTCGAGTGTTTGAGGATAAGGAAACAAGGGGGTATGGAATGTTTGGAAGGCAACTACAACATCAAGGAAAGATGCCACCATTAAATGATGGTATGGCCATGAAAGAGCATCTCAAATCTTGGGCTCATGCTGTTGCCTGCACTGTCAGATAAAGATTAGTTTCAAGGTGGGGTCTTTGATCTTCGCTAACTTGTCATAGCATGTCTCTAATTTTGTTCCTTTCTTTTTCTCTATATATTTTAATTGAGGAGTAATAAAGAAGTCTGGTGTATAGTATGGTCATGCCAGTGGTGGGCGTATGATCCGTTTGGCTGTTGCCAGGAGTTTTTGAGTTCTTCTGGTCATAATGTTCGAAAAATCTTCTCTTTCCTTTCTTTTTTTTTCCCCCTTTTTCAGGGTTAATTTGAAAAAAAAGGTGATGGTGGAAAGAGTTTCAGGAGAAAATTAATGGAGTAATTGATTATGTGAATTTGAATTGATGGATGACTATACAAAATTCAAAGGTTTTCAGTCAACAGTGTAAACTGAAAATCTGCTTTTGGTGAAATTCGAAGAAACCTTTGTAACTGAAACTCGGACATTGAGAGCTCAACAAACCCGAGATTAATTTCCATTACCATTTTATATTAATTGTAGAGAAACTAAACAAAAATAAAAATAAAAAAGAACATACTAAGTAATTGAGTAATCACTTGAGATGGACAAGAAGACAAGTTGATGCACGCATGCCTAGGGCTGGGAAATTTCCTTGAATCCTTGTGAAGTTTCAAATGTTCTTTTCACTTGTCCAGTGATAAAGTTGTCGAACCATTTCCGAAACTTCCTGTCCCAACCAAAACTCTCATCCTATTAAATCAAGTCTCTTTTAATTCAGAATCAGAATAAACACTCACATACAATTTTTCAAAAGTTGATGTAAGCGTAAAGGTTTGTTGTTATCCGTGTAAAGGTTGTTGTTATCCTATTGGATGTTCAGAGTTTAAAGGACTTTCAAAAATTTTATGATCTAAAAAAGGAATTAAAAAAAAAATTAGAGTGGTTATTTAATATTAAAAGAAACTAAAAAAAAAATACTGGATTCAAAAATTTCGAGTAAGGAGTTGGCTATGTTTTTTTAAAAATAACAATCATTCAAAGACACAATTTTTTTTAAAAGATATCAAATTAAAAAGTTTGTAACTTAATGATAGTGATCTCTTGCAACAAGATGTCATGAATTCAAATCCTAACAGTTTAATTCTGTTAGGAGTTTTGTATGTGTGAGTTAAAAAAAATATCAAAATTTTAAAAGTATTTCTTAAAACTTATATTTGATAAATTATTTCTAAATCTATTTCTAAACTTGTTCATCATTTTAGTCAAATTGAATTTATTTTATTGTGGAATCGTTTTAAATGGACATTAGATTCCAAGATTATGAATCTCATTAATTTAGCATCGGAATCAATTATATCCTAACATAATTGGCATATTTTGAACGATCTAATTAGTTAAGGGTGTTAAATCGACTTGTACCTATCCTAGCTAATTATCTTCCTTTTTTTTTTTTAATTTTTTTTTTTTGTTAAGGTGTCGAGACCAAAGTTTGTCCTTATTAAATAAAAAACTCGTTAGCTCAACTTAATTTTTCTAATTAACCTAAAATGATGTATTCTTTTCTGATTACAAATTAAAATCGATATGAGATCATTATCAATTCCTATAATTTAGGAGACTTAAGGATATCACATTTAGCTAATAAATTTCAACTTGGATAATTGCTAATTAAATCAAATTATAAAAGACATAATAAAAAAATAATAAAATAAACATCAAACGAAATCTAAATTCAATGAAAGATTAGGAAAATCCTATTAGTATATGCGTACATATCCATTTCAAATTTCAGATTAAAATAAAATCAAACATTGGACCAAATAATTAAATTTCGAAACAATCCACACTAATAATTAAAATAGTGGTAGAACAATAAATAAATTATAAATAAATAACAAATGGACTCTTAAAATTACAAAATTTAAAACACAAGTTAAGGGCAAGCATATGTAAAAACCCTAAAAATTTTATATTAAAAAGAAATTGCAAATCGGACCAAATACTTAAATTTCGAAACAACCCATACTAATAATTAAAATAATGTCAGAATAATAAATAAATAGCAAATGCACTCCTAAAATTACAAAATCTAAACACAAGCTAAGGACAAGCATATGTACAAACCTTAAAAAAATTTAGATTAAAATAATAAAGCAAACTTGTTAAATGAATAATATCCGAAACTAACCATAATATTAAAACTCTATCAATTTCACCTCCCAAACCTTCCACATTAGGGACACGCATGCAAGGTAAATTGTTGTTAAAACATCACAACGAAAAGACCTGACCTTTATGAGGGCTAAAATCCTAAAAGTAAACACAAATCCCATATCACACATGAATGGCTGAAATTCTGAGGGTGAAATACCATTCTTTCTTTTGGCTAGTCTTTTAATTGCAAGCAACCCTAATATGTTTTGCTTGGGTTAATTTGTTCTAATACCTCAAGATTAGTCCTAATATATGCTATAATTTTCATTTTCTTTGGACAAACAAAAAAAAAAAAAAAACCAAACTTTTGTTGAGTAAATTATAAATTATCCCTTCAGTTTCAAGAAAAAAATTAATTAGTTCTCCTTATTTCAAAAGCTATTATTTAACTTTTAATCGGTATTGATTATGTTTAATTTAATATCATTTTTATTTCAAAAAATCTCTTATTTTCTCATCAATCTTTCTATAAATTTTTATTTTTTTTGTTTTTCTATTTCTTAAAAAAAATAAATTAATTAATTAAAAAGAGTAAAAAGGGCTAAATTATAAGTAAATTTCAAAATATAAGGATTAAATGATTAGTTTTTAAAATGTGAAGGACTAATTAATTTTTTTTCTTGAAATTAAAGGGACTAACTTATAATTTACTCAACTTTGATTTCATTTCTGTAAGGAGACCGAGACATGTCCTAACCTACACCCATTACCATTTCAGTTTCATGCAGAAGGAAAAAGTCTTTTATCATTTCCCACAAACAGAGCACATTAACCTCAAGTCAGCTATCTATCCTAGGCGAGACATCCCATTTCCTGTTAGTTTTGCTGGACCAAAATTCACAGGACATCACGACCTAAAGAAATGAAAAAGCACAGAGCACATTTATCATGCAGAAAGGATTTAATGTATACTTGACTGGGAATGGATACTTGCTACGCTTGTAATCAAACTTCTGGTCCCATCCTTCAATCTTCAGTAGCCTTTCTCCCGCAACTTCGAAAACCTCTCCTCGGAAAATGATCTCTGCACTAAAGAGGGACATGGTTATGGCAGTGACAGCTAGCAGTGAGAAGAGGTTCCTGTGAGAAGAGGTTCCTTATACAAGATACAGAAAACTATTGTTTCTGTGATTCTCTATGTCTAGCCTTGTTCTTATACCACTCCTCAAAACCTAATCCCTTCTTTTCTTTCCAAAACCAAAAGGCTCAAAAAAAAAAAAAAAACCGGAATCTCTCTCTCTCTCTCTCTACTTTTTAGGTTGCCAAAACATATAGCTCTCTTCTGAACCCTAAAACCAGAATCAGCTGCCCCCTCTGGTTTTTTTATTTTTTATGTAAATTTCCATCTCCAATCATTCTCCTCCCACCAATATATTCATCACATCTTGACCTCTCCTTCTGGTGAGTACAAGGGATGCTCCCTCTTTGTCTTCTTCATATTTGTGGGAGCGAAGGATTTAAAGAATCGGACGATAGGTCGTTCGAAACCAATATTTAAATTTGTCATGTCATCCGCATGTCTCTTCCACTTTCGCTCCTTCATGTTTTAATTTCTTTTCAATCAAGTCCCTCAAATATAGTATTTTGGCTCCTCTTATCTTAATTTCTACTAATTGACCCCTTGTTTTTTTCAATTGTTCCCCCAGGATTTATAGTATTCTTGAATTGACCCAAAATATTTTAATTTAATTACAATTAAAACACTTAACAATTAATCCAAAATTCACTCCATCTTTTGAATTATTATTATTATTTTGCAATTTTGTATTTATGATAACATGATGAATAAGAGATTAAAAAAAAAACTAAATAAAATAAATCTAATAGCAATAAAAACTAAAATTTACGAGAAACCTACACTATATACATAAAAAAGGAATTTGTAAAAAGATATAAAATAATTATCGGGGTCAAATTTGGGTTATGATAGTTGTTCATTCTTTACAATACTTATGCCATAAAGTCAAATGAAAAAGGTGTTTTTCCTTGACTTTGCATAATAAGCTTGTAAATAAATGAGTTTTTGGATGATATTATCGGTGGTCGTATTCTCATAAGCAATCGACTTTTTTTGGTGGTTCTGTTCTCGAAGCGACCTACACTAATGGTCATATTTTTAAGGGCGATTGGCATTTTTTGATGGTAGTATTCTCAAGAGCGACCTGTATTAATGGTTATATTCTCATGAGCGATCGACCTTTTTTATTGGACTTGTTCTTAAGGACAACCTTCCCTAGTGGTCATATTCTCATAGGCGACTCGACTCTTTTTTATGGTCTTGTTCTCAATGATGACCTTTCCTAATGGTCATATTCTCATGGACGATCGGTCATTTTTGATAGTTTGTTCTCAATGGTGACCTATCCTAATGATCATATTCTCATGGGTGACTCGAACTTTTTTATGCCTTGTTTTCAAAGAAGATTTGCCTTAATGGTATAATTTCATGGGCGACTAGCCCTTTTTATTATTCTTGTTCTAAAGGGCGACCTTTTTTTATGTTCTTGTTCTCAAGGACGACCTGCTACAATGGTCATCTCATGAGCAAGCATCTTTTTGATGGTCTAGTTTTTAAGAGCAACTTACTATAATGGTCATATTCTCATGGGCGATCAAGCCTTTTTAGTGGTTTTGTTCTCAAGGATGACCTATCCTAATGGTCATATTATCATGGGCAACATGCTTTTTTTATGGAGTTTTTCTCAAAGGTGGCCTACCTTAATGGCCATATTCTCATGGGCGACCGACCACTTTTTGGTAGTCTTGCTCTCAAGGATGACATGCCTCAATGGCTATATTCTCATGGATGATCGATCCTTTTTTTATGGTCTTGTTCTCAAAGATAACCTCTCCTAAAAGTCATTTCTCACGAGGGACCAAATTTTTTTGATGGTTTATTATTAGGTGATATGCATGAAGTTATAAAAAATTAGGTAGCAATGCCTAAAATGAAAAGATTGATGGGTAGTATTGCCTAAAGTAATGAGCTAACTAGGTAGAGATGCTTAAAAAATGAAAGAGATGTCTAGGTAGTCTTGCCTAAAATAGTGATTTAGGGAACGCGAGCCTCTAATTATCTTGTGAATTAGTCGATCTGTCTCATCTTTACATTTGAGATGATGTTTTTGAAATATATTAATTAAAAAAATTACAACGATTAGTTTCTTACCCGTAAAAAATATAGGTCATCTTTTATAGATACTCAAACTCCCCTTAGCGTTTTCTCTTTTTTTGTTTTCCTTCTTCATTGATATACTAAACCATAGTCCGTGGCACTCGATGCAATCTCATTGCCCTCCAGGTCAAACTTGGATCATTGCTTCGTTCACTAAACGAACAATCAATTGGAATGGATTTTTTTAAAACCTTTGACAACCATTTGCATATTGTGATCTATTCTCCATTGGTTGTTTTGATTTATGATCTTTGTTCATATGCTCTCTCATTTTTTATGTCTTTTGAGTAATCTTGGATTTCACATGCATTTTTTAAATACCAAAGTTTCCAAATTTTAACAAGTTTGATTTTCGTAAAAGAAATTATCAAGATTTTAATATGAAAGCTTTTTGAGTTAAAGGATCGAGTGTCTCTATTACAATCCAAAACACGGTATGCAAATATTGTAATATAATTAATTCATAAGGTCAAATGAGAATTCCTTTAAGAATAACATTAAAAAAGAAGGTTTTGAGTTCGAGATTTCGGGGATCCATGAGAAGGGGAACTATTGGCATTGTCTTTAGGATTTTAGGGTATCAAAGGGATATTGCCTAGAACTGGTAGGAAGGTTTCTTGCCACCAAGCATTTCCAAATTTGGTAGGCCTATAATGATGTGAAACAAGTGTCTCAATCTTAACTATTCACGTCGATAATGATTTCTTTTGATCACTTAGAGATAGTGGCTTATCAATTCGATAATTTATCTTTTGGTTAGAAAAGAATTTTATCAATTCAAAGCTTCTATATATTTTTAGGTGTTGTTTGGTTATCAAAAACAGAATGATACAAATGAAAATAGAAGTTTTATTTTCACCTTATAACTGTTTGGTTGAAAGAAATAAAGTGAGAACGAGAATAAAAATTACAAATAACTTCATTTCCATATGAAAGGTGGGTATTAAAATAAGGAACAAGAATGAATTATTTTTCAAAATAATGATATATTATTTTTATTTATTGTATATTAATTATTTTTACCACCACCATCGTCTCTATTGATGACGGTGATAAAAGAAATTATTATTATTATTATTCTATCACTACTCCTCTTGAGTACCATCACCATAATTTTTATTATACCACAACCACTCTTCTTCTACTATCACCTCTTATAGTGATAGTATGAATGTTTTTTAAAATATATTATTGTTATTACTATGTTGTACTATCACTTCCACCACAATCACTTATATTATTTTTACCATAGTCATAGTTGATGAAATTTTTTTAATTAATATTTTTATTTGTACTTGAAAATCAAATATTGAAAAAAAAATTTCATTTTGATTTCTTATTAATATTCCAAACATGGTATGAGAATACAAATGCCATTTCGATTCTCTATTTATTTATTTTTATTATTTTTTTTCTTTTCTATTTCGAATCCTTCACTTATGGTAACCAAACGATAACTTAATTTAGTTAAGGATAACTACATCAATTTAATAAGTGATGAAAAAACATGAAGCAAAGTTATAGGAGAGCAAACAGGACAATGGGTACACTTAGATATCAAAACTCAAATTCTTATCTTCAAAGTCCAAATACTTAGATTATGTTTTCCCTATTATTTTATAAGTTAATAAAATTTTAATTAAAATTATAAAATTTTTTGGTAAGGGGTAGGTAAAAGCTAAATTGTAAAAGATCATATTATCAAAAAGATCCCTTAATTTGGCTTTATAATCAAGGAAATGGAAGTTATAATTTCCTTTGTTTAGTCGAGAGGATGTAATGAGGTTCTATTATCTAAACTTCATATATATATATATATATATATATATGGTTAATTTTTATTAGAAATTGATGTGTGTTAATCATCTATTAATTTTATTTTATTGACTATCTTCCATTTTCCTCCCTCTCCTTTTTTTCAAATAAACTTTTATAATCAATTAAAAATTGAGTTACATGCACAACAAGATCAAAAGACCCTTACATTATATATATATATATTAAATTTTTTCCTTTACATTTCAATTGGAAAAGGATGCATAGTTTGCAAATGAAAGGATTGCTTGATCGCTAAGCTTATATTTTGAAATTATTGAGGGAAGAAATGCTTATCGACTTATAGATTGCTATAATGGAAAAACAAGGAGGAGAAGTATTGAAGGAATATAAGGGAATACTTAATCAAATCATAAAACTAAAACCATTATGTTATAGTCATGAAAAAAGTACTAGGAGTAAGATTTCCTAATGTCTTTTCAATTTGTAATGCCTTGTATTTTTTAGTTTTGGTTGTCACTTTTCTATCACACACACATATATCTTCCGTGAATTGTTTTTTAGGACTTGAAATATATGTCGTCCTATCAAAACTCAACTCTCCTTTTGAATCCACTACACCCGACTCGGTATCGTCAAGTGGAGAATGAAGAAAAAGGACAATAGGAACATACCTACCGATAAGAGATTGATGCCAAGAAAAGAGAAATTGCTCATCCGACCAATATATTGGAAAAGACATTGTTGGCACCATCAAGAGGGAGAAACACTTTAAACCAAAGTCGGGTTTAGGGTGATATGCCATATACCTTTTCAATGCCAAACTTGTAGCTCAAGCCATCAATTGTCCCATCCACTAATATAAGGGCAACATCATTTCCTCAAAGGCCTCATTCCCTACGGGGCCATTTACTTATGTAATGGGCACTGCAAGCACCACATATGCAAAGTATGCCTATTGTAGATCATACTAACGAGGAGACCACCAAAGCTAAAGTAATGGAAGATCCTAACATGGATAAGTTATTTTTCATTAAATAGTGCTTTAGGACTATCGAGGGAGCTGATGTGTATGATTTGATGAGAGTTGCT